CCTATTTTTGATATGTTTTGTATTCATTCTAGTGGAAAGACATGCTGAGCTGTGCTATGCGGAGTGTTTATTTATGAGGGCATTACTCACATTTATTCAGGTATAGGTAATTATTGATCAACTCTATTTCACTCTCAGTAAATATTTAACATCTGTTTACCAAACTGGAGTTGGCTGGTGGTGGATGTTTACTGAGCCGCAAACAAACTCATAAATATCCCACACCACTAGCTACCAACACTGACATGAACAGTGGTTTCAGTTCATACTAAAACAGTGAGCCAACAGAGGATAAAAGGATGATTTTGACTCATTTATTCCTGCAATTATTGAAATATTTTCAGGAGCAAATCCCACTTGCCAGTTGCAGGGAGGTGAATAATAAACAATTACTTCACAAGTGCTCATTGAATATGAGATAATAGATAGCCAACAAGGCCCATAGAGCCATTAGTTGACTAAATCATGTCATATTCAACAAGTGCAAGTGGAATAGGTAATTGTTTTGCTAAAAAACCCTATAATATAGATAAATTTTCCCAACTGCATTGTTAAATACCAAACTGAATTCACCCAGTGTACCTATCATATTTTTAGAGCATGTTGTATTGGCCCAGAACACATGATGGCTAAGCCAATGAAAATTCTTGAATTGCAATATCCAATGATCCAGATTTTAATAACAAAGAATATTCAGTGTTTTAATAACCAATCAGAGGGCATCTTCAATGCCATCCACTTTTTTAGTTTATACTAAACTCAACTGTATTCATCAGAAATAAACCGTTATAACTTTATAATCACATGATGAATAGAAATCTGCAGGTTTACTGTAGGAAGTCACTAACCATGAACAACAAATTAGCATGTCTGTCTGGAATGACTCTTAAAAATTTCTCATCAGGATGAAAATCTGGTCAGCTTCATTCGCGGAGCTCTAAAAATCAGAAGTGCTTATCAAACTTACAAGTAAGTTTTGGATTCAATTTTGAATCATAACAATGTATTAATTCATTGAAGATAACTTTTTGCACAGCAATTTTTATTGCAGACCCATATGATTTTATAATTTCTTTTGTTGATTTATATATTGTGATATTTCTCTAAAATCAGGACTTGCCTGGACATGGTCACCCATCAGCCATCATCTCTTCAGCATTCACCCCAAAGAAAGGACTTTGAAGGAGGAGTTCACCTTGGCATTGGAGGATTTAATTTGGTGAGTCTACAGAAACCTAAGTGAACTTAATTTTGTCACCCCATTAAAAATTATCATCATGATCTTATTGTTTCAACTGGTATGTTATGTCCATTCTAAAGCTATGAGTATTTGGAAGTGCTTCCGGTTGCCTTCAATGCTAGACTGTGGATTTAGTTGATTGTGTCTTGTGGTGCCTCTATCCATGCACCCATGATTAGTGGGGACAAACTGTTGGAGCAGTTCAGAAAGTATTATGCTGGAAGTGGAAGAGAGATAGACCACTTTCCATTTCAGGAAGCACAGCAATTTTCCTTGTCACTCCATGTTGAAGAAGCTAGGATGAGTCTTCCTCAAAAGTAAATTTTCTTATGGAGGCTGCCAAAATAACATTTCTTGTTACAGAATGTTAACATGTTGACATTTTAATTGTCTTCTTTTAGATGTTGTCCCTACTTCCTGCAAAGATAATCAAGTTGTTAGAGTGGGTTGGTTTTTCAGGAGACAAGGTAACACTGTCATTCCTCAGATTGAGTCAAAATCCAAGTCCTTAGACTGCAAAGATAATCTTTCAAAGAGCCAATTTCAGTTGTGTGGAAACTAAAATAAATGCAGTTTTGTACTGCCTTTTGCTTAACTTCAATGTGAAGTTTTAAAAGCTTACTTATTGAATTCCTATAGACTTAAAAATGTGATTTCACTTTTGATCACTTTTGTATTCATTTCAGTTGTATAAAACTCAATCGAAATGCCATACAAGTTTACACAAGTAATTTTATTTTGAATATGTCAACTTCCTAGAGGTGATTTACATGAAACAACATCCTCACAATAATATCAAAACATAGTTCCATGACCAGATGTTTGGAGTGCACAAACTTATCCAGCTCTCAGTAGAGGGCATTATTTGGATATAGAACTTAATTCTCTTAGCTTATCTACATGAAAATGTGTAGTAATAAGAATGGATTGATAATCGGATGTTGAGAAAACCCAACAATGAGATGTGACATTTAGCTCGTATTTCATGACCAGTTTTTAGGTCTGGATCATTTAGACCAAGGATGCAGAGACCAGAACTTAAGATCGCCCATGTGTGCTATGGTTCTGCTCGCCTATCACAGTGTAATAACTTATTACCTAGGTGAGTGGTCAGATTTATAACTTATCACCTTAGAATTGTCTTAAGATGTTTAGTGTATGGCTACATTTGTGCTGCTTTGTGGTCAGATTTATCATTAGAATTGTCTTAAGATGTTTAGTGTATGACTACATTTGTGCTGCTTTGTGGTCAGATTTATCAATAGAATTGTTTCAAGATGTTTAGTGTATGACTACATTTGTGCTGTTGTAAAAAGCTGCGAAATTAAGCCAACAACCGATTGAAACATGAAAAAGGCATTTGAGTATGCAGCGTCAAGTGCAGTGACTTGACTACTATTCTTCCTGCAGAACATTATGTTATGAGCAAATAATCTCCCAGCTCTAGCTGACTTCCAAGCACCTGTTAAGGTCTCTTTTTACGAACTTTAAAAAGTGCTGACAGTTGTACCATACGCAAAATCTAACAGTTCCAGGGCTACATTATCTCTCTAATTAAGATCATAACATTTTTTTTTGAATGAAGACATTGCAACAGCTTGCTACTTGACTGTAGTCATATTACGTTTTTTGTTATCGTACAGCGAACGTTGACATTTATCAAAGTGAATTACGATAATTTGAAGAATATAAAATTCCCATTCATTTTCCCTTAACTAACAAATTACAGACGGACGCAATTTCGTCGGAATCCCTTTTCCTACTCTGCTCGCGTGGTTATGAATGTGTAAATTTGCATATTACTCAGACATGCAATTTTGTTTAGACATGCAAATGAAAATCTCTGAAATATCTGTTAAATACATCTAATCCAAGAATAAGATTTGTTGAAATTGAAGTACATACAGTATTTTTTTTGTGCCAAAACTGTTGAATACAAGCGCTTTCTCAACACCCTCTAAAATTGATGTGCGCAAGTTGCGTACAAAACGCCGGTAGAAAAATTAGGTTTCTGCTCTCAAGCTCAGAGCGTGGAAGTACAAACAACTTACTCAGTCAGTCAGATTCGTACCTACTTTTATACATACCTCCACCTATAGCAATCAATCCTAAGAACTATTATAATGTTTTCAT